CAGCGGTTTAAACCACTGCGCCACCTGCAGTCCCCAGTGCCAGTATTTGATACCAAATAATTAAAATACCAATTAACAAACTGGGTAAATAAAGTTTTCACCTGGTGCTAGAATGAGTAAAGCGTTGGTGCCGGGCACCCCTTTTTGGGGAGTGAGTTCCATAATCGGGGCGCTATCACAGAAAAGACTCTTCTCCTTCTAACAGCCTTCCCCACATATTTACATCCCAAAATAGCATTTGCCCTTTTGGCGGCTGCATCGCATTGTTGGCTCGTATTTAGCCTGTTGTCCACAATTACTCCGAGATCTTTTTCTTCGTCAGTTTTGTTGAGCCACGTATTCCCTATCTTGTATCGATGCATTAGGGTCCGGGCACGCCCATATGGAAGGAGACATTCCCCCAGATAACCGGTCACCACGCACAGAGCTTCTCATGCACTCCAGTTACAGTCAGGGCTGGCCTTGGAGAGCAGTCTGAGGCAAGCCAGGACTTTATTTATTTTATTTATTTATTTAAAACATTCTATGCCGCCCCATTGCAATAAAGCCTCGGGGCGGCTCACAAAACATCAATAAATAACCATACAATAAAACCCTAGTGCAATAAAACCTCAATAAAACCTCAGTGCATTCTCGGCTAAAAATTAAAAAAAAAAAAAAACTGGAAGCCATGGGACAAGCCTATAGTCATGAGGACTGGTACTCCAAACAAGAGACAGGGCTGAGGAACAAGCCAGGAGCTGGCACCTAAGAGCTAGTCAAGTCCAAAGGAAAAAGCAAGAGTCAGGCCTGTGGAGGAGCCCAGGAAGACATCGCTCAAGCAGTAGCAACTGAAGTAGAAAGCTCCTTAGATTCCTTCCTGCCATGAAGGATCAGAGGGGCAACCAGACATTTTGCTGCCTAATCAGAAGAACAAGGTATCCCCTCCTCTTCTTCGGTTCAGAGAAGCCTTTTGGACTATTTCTTCAACACTGGTGATAGGACAGCATCCTCCACAGCACCTGAAGGGAGCAGGCCAGCCCAAGGGGCCCAGGGCAGGCTGTTGGGGTCACAGTTCATCCCTACAGCCCCTCCCAACATCTGTCACCTGCAGCAGGAGTTCACCTGATGTCAGGGCCAGCCCTGTCAGCCTAGCTGGGCAGAGGCCGCCCAGGGCCTGAAGCGACCCCACTTGGAGAGCTGCCTCCAGCTGTTCAGTGGTTCATCGTCACCCCTGACAGATGGGCCTGAAACAGCTGCGTGAGTCAGAAGAAGATCCCCGTTTGCCTCAGCAGAGGCGGAAGCTCGATGCTTGCGTACTGTTTCATGCTTGTCTGTTCCACTGCGAATGTCTCTTGCAGGCTAAATAGCTCCTTGAGTCTACAATAAATCACTCTGAATTTACTCAGGTAATTCTATTGGAGCAGAGGTATTTCTGTAAAAAGGACACACACACACACAGGGAAGGAGGTAGGGAGGGAGGTATGTATTTTCACCTCTCCTTCCTACTTTTATTTATAGAATTTTCCCCCCAGGGTAGCTCAAATCTGAACCCTTATTAGATTTGACTGTGCTGAAGCAGCTGATGAAATAGGATTGCTGCCTACGCAAGCTCAATGACTCAGATAGTCACTAAAGGCATTCCAGCATTCCTTGGTTTCTCAGTGGTACAGACTGGAGGAGCAATTAAAATATGCAGCAGAAGCACTCCAGGAAAGACTGTACCACTCCCAATGGAAGGGCCAATGCATGCCTGGCGCACTTGTTTTAAAGGAAAACTCTTTACAGGAGAACATTCTCCCAGCAGACCTGAACGTTTCTTCCTGCTGGGCAAGCATTCCATTGCTGGGAGAGGGGAAGGCATTAAAGTATACAGTACACTGTGGTATAGGCATTTAAGGACTATACCAAGCGCCTCTTCTGCATGCTTGAACCAAATCTGGCATGGATACATTTCTGGAATTTGAACAAAAGTGGTCCCAGTGTAGGAATTAATTTGACAGTGCAACTCTAAGTAGGATGTCCTTATATGCCCAGCCGCCCCCTGAGATCGGCGGGAGAGGCCCTTCTCCGGGAGCCCTCCATGGAAGAAGTTAGGAGGGTGGTTACTCGGAGGAGGGCTTTCTCTGCGGTGGCGCCTAAGTTATGGAATGCGCTCCCCAGAGAGGTCCGCCTGGCGCCGTCGTTATTTGTTTTTCGGCGCCAGGCGAAGACCTTTTTATTTAAGCAGTATTTTAAATGTTAATATTATTGAATTTTATTTGGCCAGGGCGGCTTGTTTTATAGTGTATGTTTTATATTATATATTTGTATTTTATTGTATGTATTTTAAAATGTTATTTTATTTTTTTGTTGTAAGCCGCCCCGAGGCTTCGGCGAATGGGGCGGCATAAAATGTTTTAATAAATAAATAAATAAATAAAAATGTAAGATTGCATTAAGTCGGAACATCTTCTCATGTAATTTAAACCAAGTTTAATCCTTTATCAGAACCAGCAATAAGATGTCTTTGGCCAGAATGGTATACTGGCAATATATGGAGCTTAAACACTTTAAAAAATGGAATGTTATTTAGGATCTACAATTTGTTTTGATGATTTGGATCAAATTGCTGATCATTCAGACTAAAAATGCATTATGTGTTACTTGCTTGCTTAGAAATTGGAATTCCCTTTTGAGAGAAACCTACCTAATTTGCTTGTTTGAGACTTTTATAAAATTGTAAAAACATCCTTGCTTTGAGGAAGACTTTCCTGCTGACTGATGCTGTTTTTGGAATTTGGATCAATTCCAAAAATCACTACTATTTTTGTTAGTAAGATTGTTTCTTATTTTTGGTTATTTAAGCTAGCATGAGACCCTTTGAGCAAGCTAGGCAGGGGTCAGAAAATCGAACCTCGAGAAGTTAGTTGTGATTGCATCTCTTAAAATGAACTGGACAAGTTAGTTGAGATTTCAATACCATTGCTTTCAATAGTAACTAAGAGTGTAATTCTAACTCTTTGGAGTTGGTGACCGTAGGGATTTTGGATGACTTGTTGGCACCCCCCTCCCCTGCAAACAGAGGGAGGACTAGTGGGGAGACTTCCCTGCACCAGAGGTCCCACTGGTCCCTGGGATGGTGGGACGCAGACACCAGCGGCAGCAGACAGCAGGTCCCCAAATGGAGCGTTCCATGGGTAGGATGGAAAGGAGCTGGCTTGGGATCATGACTCATGCTGCTCTCCCAGACTGACCTGATGCAAGTCTGTAAGCTCCCCCATCCTAGAACCTGCCGTTGCTGCTTCTGCTCACTGCTGCTGACAATGTGAGGTGGGGGATTGTCATATTGGATTTGTGGCACTGTGCTGAAAACACTGGCAGAGCTGCCTGCCCACTTTGGTTGGGCTGGGGATGAGGTGGCAGATGCTCCTAGCTGCTCCCTGCCATCCCCATCTGTACTCCCCGTGTACCAATCCGTGGCCATGCACCTCAAACCAGACACTGCTGAGTTGGGGAAAGGGCAGTTAAATGTTCGAGGGGCTGGAGCAGATCCCCTGTGAGGAAAGGTCACAATTGTTGGGATCGATTAGCTTGGAATGGAGGCGAGTGAGGAGAGCCATGATAGAGGCGCACAATGTGATGCCCACTGTGGAAAGAGTGGCTCGGGAGACCTTTTCCCAGTAGATCCACATCTGCCCTCCTGTAATGGTAGACCCTGAGGTCATCCTATGAACCTGGCTGGTGATTCAGGACAGAGAAAAGGCAGAGTTTCCTCACACCAGGACGCAGGGTGGAACTGAAAGGAGCTTCCACTGGAGGTGGCACAGATGCTTGGCCACCAGTTAGAAGAACTTGAAAGGGCGATTGGACAATTTCATGGAGGAGCAGGCTATCAATGGCTGCTACTGTGGATGACTGTATGTTACCTGCCATATCAGAGGCATTTTGCCTATGTACATCCATTGCTGGGGAACATGGGCCAGAAGGTGCAGTTGTTTTCCAGTCCTGATTGTGGGTTTCTGTTGAGAAACGCTTGGTCACTGTGATCACAATGTTTGACTAGATGGACCCTTGGTCTGATGCAGCTGAGCTCTTTGATGTTAACTGACATACAATGCAATTGTATGCAGATTGCGGAGATCTGCCCCACTGTATTCACTGATGCACACCAACGTCACCGTCCATAGGGGAGTGGTGCAAATCTGGAACTGAACTATACGTTTGATACTGGCTTAGGCGATTGAATCGTGGCACAGCTAGAACATTCTTTATTTCCAGTACTTTGTTTAGCATTGCCAGGATATTTGAAGGTACATCTTCTTCCCTATTCACCCTCCCGCCCCCTAAGATCTGCAGCAGAGGCCCTGCTCCGGGAACCTTCCTTGAAGGAGGTTAGGAGAGTGAACACCCGGAGGAGGGCCTTCTCTGTGGTGGCGCCCCGACTGTGGAATGTGCTCCCCAGGGAGGTTCGCCTGGCACTGACTCTATATGCTTTTCGGCGCTAGTTAAAAACCTTTTTATTTGCCCAACATTTTAAGGTTTAAAAATTTTTAATTTGGTTTTATCAATATTCTCAGTTGCATTTTGTTATTGTATTTTTTGATGTTTACTTATTACTTATTTATATTGTAAGTCGTCCTGGGATGACTGGATTGTGTAGGATGGGATAATAATATTGTAAATAAATAATAAATAAACTGTTTTGTCCTCTCTTGCATGGTAACTGAACTTACAGTACCAAACAAGTTTCTTTTTCTAATGATTTTAAGAAAACAACAAGGATGGAACCCATTGTGCACAAGATTGGCAACATCTTTAGGTGAAAAATGGAAGCATTATTTTTTTTCCAAATGAGAGAAGCATCTAAGTGAGCTGCTTCTTAGACAAATAACTTTTGTATTGAGTGTTAGAACTTCCTTGGGCAAGGGAATGTTTATACTGGGATGGCTACAGTTCTGTGTTTATCTTCGTGGCTTTCTATATATGGGAACCTGACATTGTAAGTGACTTCTCTTATTCCATCCCACTATATCTTGCAGAAGATTATGGGAATCTGCTTGTCGCCGAGGCATTGCTGGAGCTATGCTTGAAAGAGAACTTTGCCAAAATCAAGGATGCCATCCCATTAATGGAAAAAAACGAGCCCAAAATGAGTGATGCCAAAAAGCATTTGACTGGTATTCTAAACCGAGGGAAGTTGCTGGTAAGCATTCTCAAGAGACATAAAACATGAACAGTTAAGGTGCCACTAATGATACAGATCGGATAGCCCTTCAGTCACACCTGTTTTTTCTGCACCAGCCCTGTGATTCTTAATGACAGCGGTAAATGTGCCATTTGTCTTCTCTTTGCACTATTTTTCATTCCTGGAAAGAAATTATTATTATTATTATTATTATTATTATTATTATTATTAACATTTCTATGCCGCCCCTTGCCGAAACCTCGGGGCGGGTTACAACACAATAAAATACATTGAAATACAATAGAACATAATAAATTACCATTAAATACAAAAATACAAAAAATACATATATAACCTGATTAGGTTTGATACATTAGCCTTCCAGGTGCTCCTTATGCAGCCGGAAGCGGTATCACCATCCACGCAAAACACAAGGGAGAGAGCCTCACGCTTTCCAGGCATACAAAAACAATGTAAAGGAAAAGCCCTAAATAAGGGGGACCCCCAAAAAGCTCCGTGTAGATTGGGCATGCTGAGAGGTGACAGAATGGGGACAGGCCCAGAAAACCAGGGGGAGGATGCTCTAGGAAATGGAATGGAATGGAGCGCCCTAGAGAAAGGCATGGCTGGCTGGCTGGCTGGAGCCTGAAACGGTTGTGTTTTACGCTACTTCATTTTAGTGCAAACCTCTCTCAGATTCTACAGATCTTTTTTTAAAGGCGCTAGAAACTGATGGTTCAGACCCCTGCATTAAAAAAGAATAATGAAATGCTATATTGTGGCCACCACAGTTTGGCTTTTATGTTAGACAATTGTTCAAGGATAGGCTGGACATGCACATGGTAGGCATGTCATGAGTGGAGCCAGCTGGAGCCGGGGGTCAGACTAGATGGCCAGGGAGACCCCTTCTGACTCGCTCTGTTTCTATGTTTCTAATTTCTACATACGATCATTTTGCCCAGGGCCACAGTTATCATTTCAGCATAGCTGAATGTTGCCCTCCTTTTCCATTCTAAGCATTGCCAACTTTCTGAGCCCTCGATCTGCTCCGGTGCTTATCCGTGTGGGTCTGTGTGGCAAACTGGGGAAATTACCATATTGTGCAAGGTATGGCCCAGTCATGAGACAGACTGAGGCAGCTGTTTCAGGCAAGCAGATGCTGTGGGAACAGGTGGGTGGAGGTGGGGTGGAGAACAGAGCTTGTGTGCAGCCTCCAGTTCTGGTGCAGCAGTTGTGGGCAGGAGGTAGATGTGGATCTACTGGGTTATTTACAATATATCAGGACAAATTTTTGCTCCCAACCGGTTAACAATAGCAGCAACAATAGCAGCAATATTTCCTCACCCCCTGGCCCTGAATATTAATTGCATCGAAAAGAAGAAAGCTTAGGGGAAGTAGGAGTAGGTTTTTTGTGTGGATGAACTGTGAGCAATCCTCTGTTTTGATTCTTAAAACAACTTAGTGGGAGTTTGCTGTGCATATAATGTAAGTCGATTCTTTGTTTTGTAAAAAAAAATGCTCCCACTAGCCAGTAACAAATGTATAGGAGGTTTTAGCTAAAGTGGCTGAATAGAATAGACTGAATCCAGTATTTGAAGCCAAACACTGACTGGTGAAGCAAACATCACTGCATTACAAACAGCCCAGGGAATAAACCAGTAGAGCAAGCCACATCTGGCTTGCAATGAATAAAACCGTAACTACTGCAGAACAGAATGAACATTCTAGTCCTTTTACACATAAAAAGTACAGACTGAGAAGGAAACTTACTTGGCTCTATCTGGGTGCTAGAAAACATCCACACCCCCACTGTGGTTTCCGTTTGTACCCAAGGCTTTCTTTTGCACCTAACACTATTAATTAGCCACACAGTTTCATTAACCCTTGTTACTATGCCTACTACTGCCTTTAAAACTCAGAGGACAAATTAACCCTTCGCCTGCACCTTTCTTGGAGTGATCCCCTATCATTGCTATTCTAGCAGGAGCTCCTGTCCATCAAACTCTCCTGATCTTAATGGCTGCCTCATTAGTTGCAATGGAACAGGGAGATCTGTGTGTGTGTTTCAGTCAGTGAATGGAAAGGTCTTTGCCAGTGCATGCATCCAAGCTCGCAAGGGAGGTGAATCGAGGCACTTGATTCTACCTGGGCCCAAATATGGGAGCACCTGAAGCAGTATTGTGCTCAACTCTTTTTATTACTGACAAAGATGTTATTTTTTCCAGCCAAAAGATATGACAGAAGCAATGCTCATCCTAGCGAAGCTCCATTACGTGGAGGGCTCGTACAGGGACGCCGTCAGCATGTATGCAAGAGCTGGTCTTGATGACATCGTGGTAGAAAAGAAGCCTCTGTATATGCTGCGCCTGCTAACAGAAGCTTTTGTCATCAAAGGTAATGGCTTTGTTGGAACTATTTCTTCATCTGGCCGGAGTTGTTCCTATATTTCGTTACGGTGATTTGCAAAAACTGACTTGCCTAAACCTAAGATTTGTCCTTTCTGAAGTTGGAAACATTTTCTTACAGATTTTAGAGGGTGCTGTATTGGACTTTAATCACTTCTGAAAAGTTGGCTAATCCCTGTATATAAGTATGCCAGTTTTTAATACATGTATTGTTCATGAGACTGGATAAAAAGGCTGAGGATGTTGGAGCAGAGGCACTGTGGAAGCATTCACCCCCCCTTTGGCTGCTCCACATTTTGCTCTGGCAAGTCTTGAAAGCTGTTCTTCACCAGAGGCTCCAGTCAACCTGACCAAGCCAGACCAGCGTTGCCAGGAAGACTGGGCAGATGTTGCATGAATACAAAGTGCAGAGATGGTAGGGACTGCCCAAGAAGGTTTGCAGCTGTGATTGCTGGCAAATGTTGGCTTGGGAAGTATATGCTTATGCAGCCAACAAGTGCTAGACTCTGGTTGACCTGACCTGTGTGTGACATATTGTATACCTTCACAGTGTTGAATGCCTTGTGTACACCAAGTGGTAATCTTGCCAGCTAAATCCATGTCGGTTCCAGGTTGCAATGCAACAAAAAGCCGAGAAGTCAAAGGGGTGGTGAAAATTTCTGCAAGGCCCTGTGTGTATCCTCACTGGTCTTCTTTCCTATAATTTGAAATTTAGATTCTTGAAGGTCCTTGTAATCCTCTTGGATCCTTTTTGTTTTCTGAAGCAATTAAGCAGCAGCACTCAACACAACACTTTAGATCAGCTGTCTTCTTCAGCTGGTGGATTTCACCTGGGTCACGACAATGGTTCTACTGCTTACTTAAGCGACAGCAAGAGCAAATATTATTATTATTACTATTATTATTATTAGAACATAGGAAAATGTGAAGGGGAAGAGAATGAGCAAAATGAACGAAGTCCATTATGCAAAGTTTTATGTGTTCAATACTTATTTAAGTGTCCCAAAGGAAGAAGAAATGACTATTAAATAACTATTTCTGCAATGTGGCTCTGTCCCAAGAAAGCTGGAGAGAGGCGATGAGAAGCAGAAGGAGGGCAATGTCAATGTAGTAGCAACTGGGTCCCAAGCTGGGGTTGGGGCTGGCGATCTGAAGCGTCTGAAGACAGCTGCTTTTGGTGAATGACTTCCTCGCATGGTGCAGGAGTCACACTGTTGCTTGGCTCATTGCTTCCTTTCCATGCAGTATAAAATGACTTTGCCTTTTTGCGCTGTAGCATCCAGTGGTTAGCGCTCCGCTATAGCCTCTAATCATTCTTAGTAGTGCCTAGCCAGTGACCTGAAGCATTTGGTCTTCCTTTCCTCTTTATAACACTTTATGGCCATCCTCTGTTCCAGGCATCATGGTAGGAAGTTGCCTTTCCAGTGCATGTGATTTCTCGGGGTGGAGGGGGTGGTCACAGGGATGCTGGGGCAATGTCTAGCTGTTTTCCTGGGTTTTAAAAAACTCTCCTTCAAGCTTCATCTTCAGTTTGCTTTCAATGCTTCTTATAAATGTTGCTGACATAGTTGCCATCTATCTCTCTACCCTCTTCTACTCCTTTTCAGCATGCCTACCAGCTTGTTAGGTGGATGGGAACTCTGGGATGATCAGATACCTTCAACTGGTATGTAAAGATCAACACTAAAATGCCACACGTACCCTCAATTAAGTGCACAGCTTTGCGCTTTTGACATGTGTGATCTGTCTGCTTCCCTGCTGGCTCTGGAGGCGGCTCTTGAGGAATGGCTGAGGTTGCTGCGGAAGAAGCAGCACAAGCTTTGTTTGTGAGTTTGTTGGAAAAAAGAACATGGAAGCCTCTGCATCTCAGGTGTGTGTGTATGTAGAATTTCAAGGTGCTCTGGCCACTTAGAGTTTAAAGCATGCATTTATTTTATTTTTATATAGATGATGATCATGATGATTTTACGTATTATTATATCATGCTTATATACTGCCTTTTTTCCTCTTGTGAGGAACCCAAGACAGCTTGCATAGCTCTGCTTTATCCTCACGACAACAACCCTGCGAGGTAGGTTGGGCTGAGCGGGAGTGCTTGGCTCAAAGCCACCCAGTGGGCTCTGTGGCTGAGCGGGGACTAGAACCCACATCTCCCAGGTGCCCAATCTGGCATTCTAGCCACTGCAGCACACTGGCTTCCAATATATAGAGATTTATATACTGCCCTTCAGCTATCTTTCCAGAGTAGATTACATAAGGATAAAACAGAAAACAAATATGAAATGCAACATAAAAATCCAGAATTAAAATTCTAAAAAGTCCAAAGCCATTCACAACAAAAATCTGTGATGTAAAGCACAGGGGTTTTAAAAATATTGGTTCCTTTTGCCTTCAGTCTTAACCCCTTTTGCCTTCTGCCCATTCCGTAGCTGGATTTGAGAGCTTCTCCAAACTGTAGTTCAGCCCTTGAGGCTGAAAGAGATGTATCACCCTGAATCTAGCCAGATAGTTGCTGCTCTCACTAGCAGAGGCTTTTCAGGATGTCAAGCAGCGGGCCTTTCATATGGCCTTCTGGAGATGCCGCAATTAAATGTTCCTGCATGCACAGCATGTTCTCTTCTATAGGGTTGTGACCTCGAATCCAAAAGCAATAAAAATAGACAGCATAAAGGGCCATCCTCATCCACATCCGGATACTGCAGTCCTCTGCTTTCAAAGCAGCAGGAAACAGTCCAGTCCCCTAAAATGTTACATTATGACCAGGTGGCAAAATAAACCTGAAGACTAAGGAGGGAGCCTTTTATGACATGGGCTTCCAACTTAACTGGGTTGTTGAAATCCCAAAGGTGCCCTTCCCTGAATTCTGCACAGGGTTGTGCCTGCTCTTCAAGAAATGTGAGGTCAGTTGTGTTGATCCTCACTCCCCTGCTTACTCTTGGGTAGGTACATCTGGGTCCAAAATATGCACATACACAATACAACTCATAAAAAGTGTTGGAAAGGCCTACCTGCTCTACCTGTAATGACAGAAGGTCTCAGAGAAAGATCTCAGAAATGGAGCATACAATATTTGGGCAAGTTCATGAGACTGCAGTGGAGGGACGTGATTCTTGGAATGATAGACTTGCAATCCTAAACACACTTACTAGCGTTCCAGAGTAGTATCCATGTTCATCTGTTTTACATTGACACATTTTTCCAGCATGTGTCTCTGTGAACTAGAGTCCACTGTGGGGTAAGTCCCTAAAAACTCAGTTGCTCTTGCTTAGGCTTACAGTGTCGGTCATTGGTCTGAGACTCTTAAGACAAGATGGACTGATTTAAGCTGGGACTGGTAGTCATTGACCATGTATATGCAGAAAGACTGGAGCTCTTGGACCAGTTATGGTCGGTTGCCCTGCTTTCATCCTGTAAGGTTCTCTGGGGAACGGCACCATCCTGACCAGCACAACAAACAAGCAGCGGAAAAAATAGCTGATCTCGAGGGAGAGACACAGGTGTCGGATGTTGTGGCAGAAGGCGTAATTCCTTAAGGGTGCAATCCTACAGTGAAGATCATACGTGCCAGGCTTGGGGGCTGACTCTCATCCTGTGCATGTTTGAGGGAGTAGTGAAGGCAGGTTTGCCTTCCTGTCTTCCCTCCCTTCTAGCTAAGGCACATCAGAGGGGGAGGGAAGGAGGCTGGAGAGGTGTCTCTGCAGCTCATCTCCTGGTATCTTTAGTCTCCTCTCCTCCCTGCCCACTGAAACACCTGTTTTCCCACTCTCTGAGGTTGCATTCCCAACCTCAAAGAGGCAGCTGGCGTGGTTCTTTCCATGTGAACTCAAAGGCAAGAGGGGATGGATCATGGATCCCCCCTTCAGGGCTGGGGTGCTGTCTCCGGCCTCAGAGCTGGGAATCTGAAGTATCCTGTCTCCTCTCAGGCACTGTCTAGGGAGCAGCTCCCTAGACTAGCCTAATCTGCGAATCTGACTCTGGCTGCAGGCCTCATCCTCATAATGGAGCCTCTCAAAGCAGTCCGTTCAGACCTCTGCAGGAGTAACCTGGCCCTCCTTTGGCAGTCCGCTGGACAGGGAGAAAGAGAGGGAAGGAAAAATGGAGGTATCCGAAAGAGAGAGAGAGAAAGGAGAGGCCCAAAGAGAGAGTTTGGGGTGGCCCTGAGCACTTGGGATGGCTTCAGCCCTTGCTCACCCTGGCATCTGGCTCACTGGTAGATTACATTCTCAGGGATCAGCCTTTGGCAGAAACTGTAGTGGCACTGAGTCCCCAAAGTTGTGAAGGGACCATATCCTGTAGCATGAAGAAAAGGAGTGCCAGGCCTGTGGGTTCAATCAAGCCCTCGTTCCATTGTTTTTCACGCTGTGAGATTACTTTGAGCTCCATCTTTTGTAAGGTCTAGCTCTACCCCATGGGCCTTGTCAGTCAGAGGCAAAGTAGTATTTCTTAGGTATAGGTGGCATCTACCATGTGGGAGAGCCTACCTGGTGGGGAGGGGAACATGGGGGGTAGTATTAAGAGACTGGCTAGATCCTGGAATAGCTTGGCTCCTGTTTCCGCAAATGAAGACACAACCCCCCAGAGACACGGTGAGCTGGTGGGTGCTTTCTAAGTTCTGTTCAAAAAGATAACTACTCGGGGCCAGTCGTGCCCTGAGACAGAGCAGCATTTTCATTTGGTGCAATGAAAAGGTAGCAAATGGTTAACTATTTTGGTATGCTATTGTTGCATTTCATTTGGGACTGTTACCAAGGAGACCAAGGGAGGGGTGTGTGAGAGGTTTTCTGCTGTAGTTGCCAAAATAACTTGCTTGATTTTGGGTATTATGCACCTTGACGTGGGGCTGGTGGGGAGGAAGAACCCTTTGCTGCTCCTCCTCAGGTAGCAGGATGTCTTGGGCCGGCCTTACAGGTTATTTGAGGGTGGGATGCAGATGGTGGTCCATCCGGCTCCTTGCACCGCTTTGACCTGCCTAACAGAGAAGAAGGTTTGCTTTTGGTCCATTCTGCTGCTGGTGGTTGAAGGCAGAAATGGGTCAGAGACTAGGGGCACACCAAAAGAGAGCCTGCATGGCTGGGTGCTTGCCAGGGGCCCACTGGCAAAAAATCCGCTGGAAGCTGCTCCTCTCCTTCTTCCTTGCAGTCTGCTTGCTTGCCTGCCTCCCCATCCAACCCAGGGGGAGGGGGAGGGGTGATGGATGCCATGGCCCATGTGCTCCGGCCGCCTGCCAAGCGAGGAAGTGGTCGCATTAATGAAAGGGGAGAGGAGGAGCAAGTGCAGGACACGACAATGGCGGCAAGAAGGTCAGCTCACTAAATGGTGGAGCCCATTGAGGTTGCCTTGGCCAACGGCCCACAGGAACTTGGAGCTGGCATGGAGAGAAGCCACGGTTGCTCAGCCAAGGTATCCATCTAAGCAGGAAGGCTTTTTATAGCCCGTCCATGCAGGAAGACTCAGCAGCCAGCTTGTGGGGGCAGAGCCAATCTGGAGTCTGTGGTCTATATTGAAAGCTGCAGTTGTGTCATGTCCGGAGAACTGAATCTTCATTCACAGTTCTAGCTTTGGTAGCTCCCAAAATGCGCTTCTCTGTGCCTTCGCAGCTCTGTGTAATTGGACCATTGTGAACGACACTGTATGTTGCGCACATTTGGGAGAATGCCAGAGCATGTGTATGGATGCGAATGCGGGAGAACTTCCCTGTGGATGTTTTAGTGCAGGGCCGGGCAGCAGGTAGATCGGAATCTAACAGCAGTTTTGGGGGGTGATTTGCAGTTGATCTGCAGGTTTTCCTGACTGAGTAATCCAACAATAGAAAAAAAAGCTTCCTCCCCTCCTGCCCCGACTCTTTGGTTGCTGAAAAGAACGCCTGGGTAAAAAACCCAGGAATTGTGAAAGAACATGGCTGGGATAACGGAGAGCAAATTGCTAGGCTGGGCATGTATCAACCAAGGTACCCTGCTTGCTATTCTTACCACATGCCTGCCTACCTGAGCCTGCATTTGGCTCAGTGGCTCTAGCAGGAAGTCTGCCCACCCCTGTTTTAGTCCAGCTAGAGATCCATTTCATTCCTAATGGCCTATTTAATTCATCTTAAAACATGGGCAAAAAAGAACCTTTCCAGCGGGCGTTTTAGCTCAATGTGATGCAGATTGCTCTTACCCACTTCTCTCCTGCTGAAGCTCTGAAGCTGCAGGGAAACGAGGTCTCGGAGCATCCCTTGCGGTCTTCCACTTTCCATGGACTGCATATGGACTGCATATGTGTAGGCTTGCACGCCTGTGACGTACCTGTCTTCAAATGTGAGAATCAGAGATGGATGACCTGGGAACGCCTTGCCCCCAGCACTTGGGTAGTGCTTTTTTGCAGAAACCGGCCCTTGCAAGGACGGCAACAATTAATGGGAGGGCTTTTTCCCCATTCCCAAAACCGCCTCTGTACATCCTGTGCAGTAGTTAAGTGAGGACACATGATGGAGGAAGAAAGCCTGTGTGTGAATGGCTGAGCGGTGGTGTCTTACTTTGAATTAGACCCTTTGTCCATCTGGCCTGTTACCATCTGCGTGGCTCGGTGGTGGGTGGTATTTGGGGGCGGGTTGTTCATGCAAACTCCTGCTCAGGCCTACCTGGAAAAGGTGCGGCTTGATCTGGAGACCTTCAGTGTGCATACACTGAGCTATTCTCCTTCCTCCTTAAAGAGAAGGTGAACAGGTGATTTAGCCATTGAACAAAGAAACACAAGATTAGACATGCACATGGTAGGCATGTCATGAGCGGAGCCGGCTGGAGCTGGGGGTCAGTCTAGATGGCCCGGGAGTTCCCTTCTGACTCACTCTGTTTCTGTGTTCCTAACTTGAGTTAAATGGACCAAAAAGGATGATGCGTAAATGGCCTTACTTGTGGTCCTGTGCCTATCCCATCCTTAAAGTCAGAAATAAAAACAATGTATGTATGTATATATGTATATATGATTCCACATAGGTGCAGGCAAAACCACTGAATTATGTAGCCAGGACAAATCATTCTCACTTGCATGTTATTTATCCATTGGCACCAATGTATCCATACTTTTACAGAGCAGCATATGGGACCAAACAACCAAACAAAGAAAAAACAAGTTGTTGCCCCAAAGAGCTTACAATCGTGTGTGTGTGTGTGTGCATGCGCGCACATGCATGTGCTTGATTTTCCTCTGTGGCCAATTGCATCTCCTTCTTTAGTCCTGGAGAGGGGCAAGGAGCTACACAGATTACCCAGGCCTCCTCCTACCTCTGCATCTCTTGGCCTGGATCTTTTCTGAGCCGCACCACCTGGTTCCAGAGAGTCCATTAAGCATTGCTAACACGTTTCCAGGCTTGACTTCTGAGCCTTGAGAGCTAGAAACATGCATCTGTGCATGGGCATGTATGCATGGATGGGGTGGGGGGTTGACTCAAAACCAGTGATTTTCAGAATGTCTGAGTCACACACAAACACTTGTGTCCTGCAATCCCTAAACTGCAGAACACCCTGAAGTTCCTCCAGTGGCATTCATGAGGACGAAGAGAGGAGGGATAGATCCTTTGCTATAATTTTAAGAACCGTGGGGAAGTTGTGCCAATCCAGCTCAAACCAAGCCCAGGCCAAGAGAGGACTGCTTGGGAAACTGCAGGGCAGGGCCATGTATGAAAATGGAAGGTGGGTGGAGGGAAGGTCTCCTGATGCAGTAGGAGACAGCTGATCGCTCGCGGGCTGCTGGTCAGCCTCTCACTGAAAGGGAGCTGTTCTTCTCCTTGCAGGCCTGGCGCTGGAGCGTGCCCCCAATTCTATCGCTTCCCGGGCCCGCCTGTCAGAAAAAGAGGAAGTCATGGCTTGCTTTGAAAGGGCTTGTGTGACTGCTCAGCTGTTCCTGCAAGAGCTTGAGAAGGTAAATGCAAGCTATCTGAAAGGCCCTGAGGTATGTCCGAAGTGCTGGGGGATGGAGGGACCTGATAGCCCTGCTGGTCCTTTGGCCGTTGTTGCTAGTGGTAGTATTGTTATGATTATTTTTACTGACATAAAATCAACAGTACTCACTGAGGTATTATTGGTATTATGCATGGATTGGTCCAGCCTTTCCCAGCCTGGCTCCCTGCATGCTGGTTGGGGTTGATGAGGATTGTAATCCAGCACCTCTGGATGAAACCAAGTTGGGGGACAACTAGAGTGCTGTTAAGGTTGAGTACATATTAGACATACTTGGAGCAGAACTGTTGATTGTGATAACTGACTCAAGCCAGGGGTCAGACTAGATGGCCCAGGAGACCCCTTCTGACTCACTCTGTTTCTATGTTTCTAAGCTCTAATAATTTCAGGGGGTCACCTGTAGAGATGACCAAACCTGGATCCAGCCCTTCGTTTTTAAGATGCCAGGAAGATAACCTGCTTAGTTTCAGCAAAGTTGCCAGATGATGTCCCTCTGGACCATGCCCTAAGCACATGGTTTATGCTGTTCTTTCTCCAAGTTGGCCAGATGCTGCCTCCAATCTACCCATACAATGACTCTGTGAGGCAGGTGTGGTGGAATATGACTAAGCAGACCAGCAATGCCCAGTTGAGTGTCATGAGCCTGACTAGCTTGGATTTTAAATTGGGGTCTTCCAGATCTCACGCCCCTAGCCCTCTGTGGAACGGCTCTCATAAGGAGCTGATTTCAAAAGCATTTAAAACTTTAGAGGTCAAACTTCAGGTTCAGGAAGCAGGGGGAGATGGGCAGGTGAAAAGGTGTTTCATTTCCGCTCTGCTTTATGCAAGGCCAGCTTTTAAGTGCATTTCATTTGGCCCCCTGGGAAGGTGTAGGTCTCATAGCCTATGTAGGAGCCAGAGCAGGTGTTAGGGCCAGTGTCAAAAGCGGGCATGATGGGGCACTTGTAATTGCTATTATTGTTCCTCTGTATCAACGATGCCTCATTTTTCTCCCACTGCCCTTCCCAACCTCCCACCACCAGAGCTTTGGCAACACACATGCAAGAGGCATAAAAGGTGGCCAAGCATCTTCTTCCGACTTTGAACTTCCTTACTTCCTGGAAGCGGCTGTGCAGAGCGCCTACGTGGCTCATTTAAAACGGGGGTAGGTGGATCTTATTTGTCTGCAGTTCCAGATGATTCATGTTGAATGGCATTTCGCAGAAGAGGCCTCTGATGCAGCCCCGTGCAAACCAAATGGTAGGCACAGAACAAGGTATGCAGGGAACATGTGTACCCGAAGGAAGGGGTGCTCAAACCACCCCTCAGCTTAGCATGCACACATTCAATTAAAATGTGTGTGTGTGGGGGGGGGGAGGATGGGACCCACTACAGCAGCATTGTTGTCATTAGTGAGGAAGATGCTCTGTGCGCACACAGCTTTCTGTGTGTAGGGCTCCTCCATCCAGCTGGGAACCCGCACTGAGCACCCCAGCTCCTGTGTCAGCCTTGGGTCCAGTGTGATTCAGTTCCAGTCCTACCATTAGGCAGGTGCAGCAGTTGCGTCTGGGTCCAGATGCTGGGCTGTTCCTACTACCTTTTCCAGATGTTCCCACAGGTGGAGGCAGAGCTGCACGCCCCACCTGCCCTGTGGCCCCTGAGCTGGCCTCCCAAAAAGGCCTTCTCTCTTGTAGCAACTTGTCTTTCAACTTGTCTTTCATTCTCCAGGGCACCTGGAGGAGGGGTCTGGGTAGGTATGTATGAGGCATCCAGGTAACCTGGTCCCAAGTTATTTAGGGCTTTAAGCTACCGTGAATTGGGCCCCAGAAGCTGACTGTACCCAGTGCAGGTGGCTTACTAGAATCACCATGGCCAGTCCAGTTAGCGGTCTAGCCATCCTATTTTGGGTTGACCATTTTGGCTAGACTAACTGAAGTTTCTGAACCATTTTCAAAGGCAGTGCCATATGCAATGCTTTGCAATAATCCAGATAGGAAGTCACCAGAGTGTAAATAAGGCCAGCCCTCTCCGGGTAGGGCTGCAGCTGGTATATTGGTCTAAGCTAATCAAAGGTGTTTCTGGCTGGCCTGTCCACCTGAACGCCAAACAATAATGATAGATCTAAGAATTCCTTCAATTCATGAATTCACCCTACTTCTTTAGGGTGACTATAACCCCCTCCAGAATAGGTTGAACTCCACTTAATCAGGCAGACCACCCACAAGTATTTTGGTCCTATCTGGGCTGATTCAAAATAATTGGTTTTCAACATAAAAGTGTCAGTGGCAGCCACACATGTGGGGAGTTTCTTTTTCTGCCACGAGGGGGCAGAAACAGATCTCTTAATAAGTCATATATCTAACGTCTTGAAAGTGGGGAAGAAAGCTTGATCCTGGCTGTGATTCTGTGAGTGGTTCCAGAAGTCGCAGGGTTTCTAGAAAGGTTCTTATTCTGGGTGTGATTGGTGGAGGTATCTAGGAACCTTTCAAGCTAGTGGACTGTTAATCTAGAACATTAGTGGCCATGGCTCAGTGGTAGAGCACATATTCGGGATGCAGAAAGTCTGAGATCCCATCTGCAGGCAGGGCAGGAAAGGTTCCCACTGAGATCCTGAAGAGCTCCTGTTCATCAGTCTCAACAGTGCTGGGCTGGGTGGCCCAGTGGTCTGGCTCAGCCAAAGGCAGCTCCTCACATTCCAAATGCTTCTTAATAACATGCTTCCATGCGTCTGTTCTTCTGCATGTTGGCACTTTGGCTGCATCAGCCTACTTCATCAAGCAGACAGCCTGTCTGGACAGGCAGAACCTTGCAATGGTTATTCCCGCACTAGTAACGCTCTCTCCTTTGCAACACTCTCTTCCTTTGGAGATGGTCCAGGAGCGTGGACTAGTGATGCCGTGGCCGAGGACTGGTGGATATGATCGTATAACACCAGTCCTGTGCCATCTCCATCGGTTGTTACTTGATATCTGGGCCCAGTTCAAAAGGCTAACACTCGTGTTTAAAGCCCTGAATGGCTTGGGACCGGGGTATTCAATGGAGTACTCCTTCCCCTGTGTGCCTACCTAGCACTTGACATCATCATCAGAGGGCCTTCCCAAGGTGTCTCCTCCTCTGGAAATAAGGAGGGTGGCCGCAAGGAAAACGGCCCTCTTGGCAGTGGCACCCCAACTCTGGAATCAGCTCCCCAGAAAGGTTCGCCTGGTGGCTTCCCCGTTCTCTTTCTGGCACCAGGCAAAGACCTTTTTATTCTCCTGACAATTGAATTGTTAAGATGACTTTACATCTTACATCTTGTTTTATAATCTCCTGCTGTGCCTTTTATTAGGTCTCTGTTTAGACAGAACTGCACTCTTGTGAAGTTTTATAATGGTTCTTGTTTGCACTTGTTGGATTTTATTGTACTATTATCTGTTACATTTAATTTTACTTTTAGTGTATATTTTTTAACTTTGTAACCCATTCAGGAATAAAAATCCAATAATAAATAAGCAAACAAAGGATTAGGTGACCCTTAGTTTGGGAATGGGGGGGGTGGAGGGACTTCAGGGGAGGATCATGTGACTGAGGCCGTCCACTCCCTGGAGGCTGCAGCTTCCCTACCAGATGGCTGCCCAGCCTCTGCTTAAACGCCTGCATTCAAGCCAAGCCTGCCCTTTCCCGAGATGCTCTGTTCTGCTGCTAAGCAGCTCTTACCCGCAGGAAGTCTCTTCTTATGCTTAGCAGGAATCTACCCATTCATATCTACCGGGCTCATGCTTTCACTGGCTGGATTCAGAGAACATGACAAGCCATGGTGGTTTTCTACCATTGTGTGTTTGTTTTATTTAATTTTTTCCTATACCATCTATTATTTTTGCAGAAAATCTCAAGACAGCGTGCAATCATAAAAACATTTACAGCATCATTGTTCTGTTGTGCTGACCAAACCCATTCATGGTATTTCGCCACAGTAAGATTGGTCTTTTGAAATAATGGTTTATTCTATGTTACCACCATGGCTTGTTTTGTTGTCTGAACCCAGGATTGTAGTTTCCATGTTCCCGGTATGCCACTGCCACAGAGTTCCTGGAAAGAACAGCAACTACAGGAGCTGCTCCGGCCATCCAGCCTCTGTGTACAGACCAGTGAGCGAAAGGCAGGTGACACAAGCAGTGAGTGATGCCCACTGAGGTTGAATGAAGGTGCAGTGGCTGATGGGATACATGCCAACAGTAGGAGGCCTGAGCGGAGAGAATAGAAACTGCAACAGCCTAGAAACCACTTAATCATTTGGTGGGTAGTTTATGGAAACAAACCATGCACCGTGGGAACCATGCAGGGTTGCTTGTTATGTGGTGCCGCATGTGTTTAGAAAACTGGACTGTAGAGGATCCTGTGCTCAAGGAGAAACGAGTCAAAAGCATTTCGCAGCCTAGAATGTTATCGTTATATTTAGATCCTACGCTTCTCCAAGGAACCTATCGTGAGATCCAGGATCTGCCCCCTCCCCACCAATTTTTATCTCCAGAGTCACCCAGTGGGTTCATGGCTAAGGGCAGATTTGCACCCAGATCTCCCCAGCCCCAGTTCAGTTATCTTAATCCAGGCTTCCCCAACAGGGTGCACTTGAAATATGTTGAACTGCAATTCCCATCATTTCTGGCTTGTATTCCCACGCTGGTCGGGAATGACAGGTTGGAATTGCAGGCCAGCACATTTGGAAGTCTGCTGTTGCTCTTCCAGCACACTGGCTCTTCCGGCCATGCATAGAGAAAAAAACATGCAGTCATTTAACAAAGCTTTAATATACGATCCATAAAAAGCTTCCATATGTCCCCTGTATTCATCAGCGATCTTCTCATAGGCCACCATCTGGAATAAGGCACATGAGAAGCTATCTTGTGAAGGTCTCATTGGCTTGTATTATTGCCATTAGCCTAACTTGAGTGTGCGTTGTTTTAATGTCGGAGATGTTCTTCCTTTCCTCCTCCCCTCTTCACAGTGTTAGTTTATGATTAAACCCATCTTGCCTTTCCTTCCTCTCAGCAACATTGTTAAAGGAATAAGAAACCTCCGGGAATTTTTACGGACCATGGAAACGAAGGCCACGCAGAGCTTCAGAATGGTAAGGCCAATTCATCAGAAGATGCAGGACCCCCCCCCCCTTATTTTTTTGTAGCTGGAAAGGTCGAGAGAAAATTTTGGGGGGTTGTTGGACATTTGTTTCCCTTCCCTTGCTGCATCTTTGACATGGAGTGGGAGCAGAGCCTTACAATTGCTCATTTGCTAATCCTTGGCTGGCAAGGTCAAATCTAATAGAGTTTAATTCAGATAAAAGCCCTTAACAGTGTTTGGAATGAGAAACGCTTCTGCATCTCTTTTTTCTGTATAGATTTCCCCCCACATGGCAGCAAATGCAAGACTAAGGAGATTCACGAGGTTCCTTTTAACTGACACCCTTCAGGCTAATGCAAACTTGTTTTCTCTAGGCTTGTCTCACTTAGCTGCATAGAGCTATGTGGGTGTTGTAATTCTGGGGAAACAGATTGTGGTAATAGAGAGAGAGCTGGAAAAGAGAACTAGGAAAAAGAGGTATGTGTGTTGGGGTTCAACGCCTAGTCCTGATGTGAAATAGATTCCTTTTGGCTATGGAGCTCAGTGGTAACCCTCCCCATGAGTAGAGTAATCCTATATCCTCTTAGACAGAATCTAAGGTGTGATAAGTTGCACTGGATTCCCAGATCCAGGGTCGGAAAAGAGTTTTGACCTCCTAGCTGGGGAGCTGTGCCTGGATCCCCCTCCTCCTATCTTTGTGGAAGGATCCATGCCAGCCACTTCTCTGAAGTTGTAAGAGCAGCCCCAGAGAAGAGGGGAAGAGGATATTTCAGAGGGGCAGGGAGAGACTGAGTCTGCCAGGGTATGATGTATCCAGACGGTGCTCCACTCTCCCTGTTCCTCATGCCCTGTGTAGGATGCTGGTAATCCTCCGAGACTTAAAGGCACCCTTATTGGAATGTTGCTTTGCCCCCTTTCTCCAAATTTACCAAGGTGGGCTGGAGTAGAGATGACGGACCTCTTGGCAGGTCCTTCAGTTCCAACATGATTCTGCAGCAGTAGCCTGGTATTCCAGGATCCGCAGGTGATATAGCTGCCGTAGTGAGTAGAATCCTAGCTTCAGTGTTCAAGGTCAGAGGCTACAAAATGAATTAAATTTCCCATGGTTTTTAGTGTCCCAGAATGCGGTCATGGCTCCATGCGTTGTGGACTAACTGCTTTGTAGTTCCCAGTATGCCTTAGATGCTGATGTGTATGCTTATAGCAGTATTTAAGTTCTGAATCTAGCATTCCACTCCACCCCCATAGTTTGGTAAAGGGATGCAACGAGCTTTGGGTGCAGGCAACAGGGAGGGTGCTGGTTCACCATTTGACAATTCTCTCATCTTACTTTAAACTCTTAATCACTTCATTGTTTTAGCCATAAAGATGCAAACTTAGAGATTTGCTACATAGTACTAAGAAGCTGATTCCAAAACTTAGGGGCTGCCACCAAAAAGGTTCATTTAGCTCTTGACACTGGTTTAAAAGAGGGAAGGACTACCCAAAGTTTGTTATTGCCTGATCTTAATCAGTGGGAAGGTAAATATGAAAAAGCACTAGCTGCATTTGGATGCCATAATAAACCTCAGTGTGCATTTGAGGAAGAGCTCAGAAACATTTGATTTTGATTAAACATAGCTTGTTATTTTGTCTGACCCTAAAAAGCTATGGTTCATCTAACTATGATTTGCTTGGAACAAGCCAACTTCAAACCATAGAATTTGAAAGTGGTTTGTTTCAACAAATCATAGTTAAGATGTTATATTAACACTAAACTGAGGGTAATCTAAAACAAAAGGGAAAAAATTGATCTCCCTGGAATCATGCTGCAGGATGAGAAAACAGCAGGGAGAATGTATGTCAGCCGAAGGTTTATCATGACTTTCGGACACAGCCACTAATGCAAACTGCTGATGATACAATTGCATTTGAAGTTTTAGAATACCTTTGATGGCAAAGACCTGGGTTTTAGTCTTATAATATCAATATTTTTAATATTTTTAATTGTAAGCCGCCCCGAGACTTCGGCGAATGGGGCGGCATAAAAATGTTTTAATAAATAAATAAAAAATAAAAAAATAATTAAAAATCAGTGCCGAAACAGCATTTTGGGCACTAGGATTAACATACAGGACATGTAATTTAATTAATTTGGAACACTGAATGGCAACATGTGAGTACATTTTACTTGCGGCCACAACATGTATTCCAAGCAGAATAACGCTCTTTTCTTTGTTTGGCCAAAAGCTGCTAAAATATAAATCCAAGGCTAGGGCTATTCAGGTCTGCTTTATTTTATTCCTAACAAAAGTGGAATTAATTGACATAGCTAGCAAATTCTGCAGTAAAGAGAACATCCTCTCTCTCTCTCTCTCTCTCTCTCTCTCTCTCTCAGGAAGTAGGACTTTTCATTAAAGAGATTTATTTTCAATGAAAATGAAAAATCCACACAAACTGTTGACATTTTGCAGAACCATGATGATAAATATTTATTATTTATGCCTCTAGTGCAGATATTTATTTATTGCTCTCCTAGCTTGTTGCATGCAAGTAACCCAGGGCAGTCTTCGTAATTCTCCTATTACTTTCCTTTTATCATCTCAATGACCCTGTGAGGCAGGCTAGGCTGAGAGTCTGACTGGCCCAAAGTCAACCAGGGAGTTTCATGGCTGAGCAGGGACTAGAAACTGGATCTTCTGCATCTCAACCCAGCACACTTACTGGCTCTCATAGGAATAGCAATGGGAATGGTTCCCATGGGAAAACTTTGTAAATCAAGGGACCCTGGTATGTGTGTTTTTAATGGTGTTGTTGTTAGTTGTGAAGTCGTGTCCAACCCATCGCGACCCCATGGACAACATTCCTCCAGGCCTTCCTGTCCTCCACCATCCACCGGAGTCCACTCAAGCTCACACCAACTGCTTCAGTGACTCCATCTAGCCACCTCATCCTCTGCCGTCCCCTTCTTCTTTTGCCATCTATTGATCCCAGCATTAGGCTCTTCTCCAGGGAGTCCTTCCTTCTCATTAGGTGGCCAAAGTATTTCAGTTTCATCTTCAGTATCTGGCCTTCGAAAGAGCAGTCAGGGTTGATCTCCTCTAGGACTGACCGGTTTGATCGCCTTGCGGTTCAAGGGACTCGCAGGAGTCTCCTCCAGCACCACAATTCAAAGGCCTCCATCCTTTGGCGCTCAGCCTTCCTTATGGTCCAGCTTTCACAGCCATCATACATTGCAACTGGGAAAACCATAGCCTTGACTATACGCACTTTTGTTGGCAGGGTGATGTCTCTGCTTTTTTGTATGCTGTCTAGATTTGCCATAGCTTTCCCCCTCAGGAGCAAGCGTCTTTTAGTTTCTTGGCTGCAGTCCCCATCTGCAGTGATCTTGGAGCCCAGGAAAATAAAATAACTTTTTAATAACTCTTGTGTATTTTTTCAGGATTTGGATCCTGAAAAGCATGCTATAAATCTATTAAACTACACACAGAGATGAATAAACTACAGTTATTTATTCACTGAGAGCCAGTGTTGCTACTGGCTAGAATGTTGGGCTATGAACGAGGGAAGGCCAGGTCCTAGTCCCCACTGGGCCATGATGCTCCTAGGGTGAGTGTTGACTCTCAGCCTAACCTACCTCCCAGGGCTTTCGTGGGAATAAAATGGAGAGGAGGAGGAGAATTGTGTAATTCTATGCAGGAAAAAAGATGAGATATAGATATAACAAATAACAAATAAATAAAATTTTAATTTTTTTATGGATGTCTAATTTATTATGTTTTAATTGGTTTTTAATGTGTTTTTACTGTCGGTATGTTTTGCATTGTAAGCCTCCTAGGAAGGCCTCGGCAATTATAGGCAGCCTATGAATACAAGCAAATAAATAAATAAAATCATATAATATTCTCTCTCTATCTGTAAATATAGTTTTATATATATATCACACACACTGTATATATAATAAACATTTTATAATACTGTATATAAAACTGGTATGTCATAATTTTATACATAGTATTTTTATATATGTAATTACACACATGCACACTCCCTGATTAATTTGGAGAACCCTTTCGGTCAACTAAACGTCTTGTAAATTGAGTAATCTGACGAATTATCCTATGCACATTTTGACAGAAAGCAGCCAACAATTCCCAACATGTCCCAACAGTCTCATATTCTTCGAACTAATTATCACCTCTGCATTTGGGCTGGGCCACATCTGGGTACCTGAGACAGTTGATAAGGCATTGTGCTTCCCTGACAGAAGGATGGAATGGAGCAAGAGGGAATTATTGATACTGGGAAAGAACAAGTGGGCCTTGGTTGGTTTTTCATTCCGCCTTCCCCCATTTTCTTTTCATTTTCTCCAGACGGCAGCCAAACAGTTGGCTGAGCTGCTTCTTCACTCTCTGAGTGAGGACTGTTATTGGAGCCCCTTATCTGATCCTCTTCCTGAGTTCATGAACAAAGAGGATAGTTCTTATATTTGCACTTCTCTGCGTCGAGGACTACAGCTACACACTGGAGATAAGTATGTACAGTTTGGGAGCAGGGGTTTCCGGGTCTGGTTAATACCAATTGTCGCATGCTGTCTGCAGGCTCTCTCTAGCCAGCCATGGGCTGAGTTGGCGTGAGACCATGCCTTTCAGAAATTAAAATATTCTTTAGAATATTTTACTTTCTGAAAGGCAAGAGGCCCTCGCGGATTTCCGACAATCCGGTCTAGGTGCTAAAGGCACAGTGAAGATGGTTTTGACTGAGATGGAAAAAAGAAAGTCATGTTACTGGTGGGTCTGAAGTACTTCAGGCAGCAGCTGTTAAACATCTAGATGGGGAAGTAATGGCCAGGCTGTGAGGCTGAGCAAACGGGTGTGAAGTAGGCTGTGTTTCAGATCTTCATTCAAAACAACAGGCATCCCATTGCTTGCCAGTCTCTGTGCACGATATAATTTAATCTTACCTTTGTTTTTCTATTTTTTGAAAAAATTGACATTTAACCGGTAAGTATAAACAAAGTAAGACAAAAACATAACAAAAAGTTGCAAGGTGTCCATTATGCCATTTCTGCTGTTCATCTTTTTATTGTCTGTTTCTTTACTCTCTGGGATAACAGTACCAAGAAGTATGAATTGCCCTGTGTGAGTCTAATAAACATTAAGGCTGCTTTGATGATGGAATTTTTTCAAGAGGAAGAATGTGTAGCAACACTTGTTTAAAATCTGGGAGGCGCTTTATTATTATACCACAGAAATTGTAAAGACATGACTTGCAAGAAATCCTCTTTTATGAGTGCTGGCTGCCAAACCATTGAGAATTAGCTCTCAGGCTGCAAAAACCTCACTCCACATTGGGAATTCTTAGATCTGTTTTGCCCAGCAGAAATGTGGCTTTCTCTGCCCATCATCTGCAAATCACTAAAGTCCTAACCGAGTTTTCTCCTAAGATACACTACACAGCTTTTAGTCATCCTGGTCTGAAGAAACTATTATATAACAAATGAATAATGCACGAGATGTTTCAAGTTACTAGTCCTGCAGTAGTGTTAACAAGTGTGTTCTATGAGCCTAATTCTTGATGTTGCTTAAATATATATTTAAAAAGAGTTTGCTTGTCTTGCAGCATCTACAGCCCCCGAGACAATGTTGAAGAAGCTCTCCTCCTCCTCCTGATTAGCGAATCTATGGTAAGCCAGACAGGAATTGTTATAACGAGTGATACGAAAACACAGTCGAGATGATATTGGACGTGCACGTAGCAGGAATTTCGGGTTTCTTTTCTGAGCTGCAAACTGGCTTCAAGTGCATAAGTCTTGCTTGTATGGTTTGAAATATGGTGGTTGCCTTTAATGCGTGGAAAGCTGTTTTCCAAAGAATTGCTTAACAGAATTGGTAGAGTTGTGTAATTCCAGATTCTGGACTTAAGGGCTGTGTGGGAAGAACTCTTTAGAGGGTAATGTGTATTACTTCATTTCCTAAACAATGTGGTAGGCCTGCCCCACTGAATTTGGGGGTTCTTCTTTCTGCTGAAATGTCTGCCCCAGGGTGTCTTTCCCGCACTAATAGCACTATTGTTTGATGAATTCTATTTTAAGCAGACATTTTTTGAATGGTCTGAGAAAATTTAATAGCAAACTGTGACTCATCTTTAATGTGGCTTAGAGACGGTTTCATTACATGAGTGTGTGTGCACGCATGTGCATCACGAATGCATGTGTGCGTGCAAAACAGGCGTAATGAGAAAGCAGTATATTTATTTCTGTGTAATTCAAATATCATGTCAAAGCAACTCAGAATTTTCATATACTTGGCCAGTTTGTGCTCAATGAATCTCTGAGCTAGAGAGAGCTGAAGATTATAATGACAAACTAATAATTTATAGTTATGTATTTTGTTTATATTAATGTATACCATACATTTTTGCTCAAAGTAAAAACAATACTTATATAAAATCAGTAGAGAAGCAAAATAAGATAAAATTACAATCCAAAAACAAGCAAACAAGCAGCATTTGAAATAGCAAGAGAATATACCACAATAGCAAGTGCCGTCATGGTGCGTATATAAGGGGTTTCTAATCACACGTCTGTAACCTTCAATATACTTGCATGGTAGTAAGTCACATGAAAATCAGAGGCTAGAGCTGCTCTATCATAAGGCAAAACTCTTGACCTGACACAGGGAGACCTCTGATTGGTTATACCTTTTTCTTGCACCAAACAGTTGATGTGTGGGTGGGTGGGGGGAGGAGCTTAAGCCTCCCCCCTGTGCCATTAATCCCACTTAAATCACCCTTCCTCTAAATCAGCTGCACAAGTGGGTGTGGAGAAAAGATGGGTGTCCGCATTGTTCAGCTCCCTGGCTAATAATGGTTTCAGAGCATCCTTTGGACCGGAAAAAAGCATTGTATCTACCCCGTGCCGTGCTGCGGCCCCAATCCAAACTGCATCCCCTCCCATGGATGCCTTGAGCGACAGCAGCATAGCAAACTCCACGTTGCTTCTGGTGTGGTCCTGATGCAGCTGACTGGTTGCCCCCCTGCAGGGTGGAAGCCACCGGAATTAGGTGCTTCGGTGCACCCAGTGCTTTGCTGGGCTGAAGCCAGCACCAAGGGGGAACTGGCGGAAGACGCCTCGTTCTCCAATCACTACGGGTTTTTCCCATTTAGTGACAGCACTTCTGGGGGAAAGAGGCTGGAAGAGGTCAGTATGGCTCATACTCAGACCTTTCCAGCTTACCCACTCTACCTACTGGAATAGTCACATTTCCCCCACAACAAGTTTGCATCCCCAGCCTCAGTGGCCAGCTGTCTCAGGTCTTTTGATGCTGGCTGTGAAGATGAAGGGGACTCAGATCACCAGCTCCCCCTGCGGAGGTTGAAGCTCTGTCTTCAGTCTTGCTGGCAGAGAAGCCCTGCTATTCTATCACCTCTCAACCAATGCCTCAAGGGCCATAGGACTGCCCCATAAACCAGTTGACTGATTTCTTTAAAAAAGCTGACACTGAATGCCGAGTAGAATTTTTTTCCGAAGAAAATCTCGGGCAGAAAATTCTACTGTACTCTCCCTCTTTTGAATATTTCCCCTCAAAGCAAAATCTCTCCATGTCAGGAGAGCATCGAGCATGTTCTAGAGGGAATCAGTGGAGACCAACATGCGCAGCTAGCGCTCCAGTGAACTGAATGCGTGCTTCCACAGGACCAGTCCTACCATTAGGTAGGATGAGGCAGCTGCAACAGGAAACTTATTTTGGGTGTCATAAGAGCACAACAAATAGTGATGTGGATTTTCTGAAAAAATTGACGTTTTTCCTGTTTGCGTAGACTAACATGCTTCATGTGCAAGAGCTGAGCAGGGCTGTCAAAGGCAGAACACTTTGGAAGGCATTCATACCGAGGGTTCCCATAAGCCAGAGATGTAAAGCAGTAACAATATGCATCAGGAAATATTTAGTGTGCATGGGAAAATGTTCTGATGCCCTAGAGAATGATTTAGTTAAGTACTTTTGCTTTACTTTTATATAGAAAACAAGTCTAAAATAAAACCCGATCTTAATCTTTTATCCTAACACAACACAAGGATTTGGCTTGAAATATTTCAGAGGAAAAAGGTGATTTAAATGTTCTATTATGTAGACATTTTTATTGGAATACTTGTAATAATTTAAAAAACAAAAACAATGACACTGAAATGTTGACACATTAACAAATTTTAGGAACCCTAGTAAGTGGACAGCATATCCTATATTTTAACAGAATTCAGCTCTCTTCACTGAGACTGTTGGGGCGCCTTCAGTTTTCCGTCGCTGCTGTTTCACATGGAGAAACAGCAGCATGTTTCATTTTGTGTTTCATTTTGTCTGGTCTCTCACATGCTTACTACTAAGGGTAATCACCCAAAAATATTAATTACAACTCTGAAAATGCCAAGCTTTCCTAATGTTTTTGCAGCTGGCATCCATTCATTGTTACTAATGAACTTATGAAATGGAAAATTTTCTGCAGGAAAAAATGGACTAGAACATTTTCTGCTGGGAAGAATGTGTGTTAGAATTCTGACAGCTGGAAATAGCTTTTTAGTACCTTTAGGACCCATTTCCAAAGCTCTCAGAATGGACTTGGCAGAATTTGATAACTCATGGCATAGCAGAAGCAATTTATCCATAATATTTATACCGTATCTCTTAATCCCAAGAATCCACAAACTGGCTGACAAAGATAACATTGCAATAACACTTTCATTCCTTGTCTCCAGTTCTGGTGCTGCACATCATTGGTACCCACTTTTAGTGTGGAAATGGTTCCCTGAGGGTAGGAACTTGGAAAGCTACTAATTAATTGTATGTTGCCTTACACAGGGGTTTTGTACCATGGAAAGGAGATCTGTTACACTGTAAAAGCAGAGAAGAGTCCTGTGGCACTTTAAAAAGGAATAATTGCATGATTGCATAAGCTTTCATGAATTACAGTCCACTTCATTCCTGAAAACATTTACTATATTAAAATGAAGGTACTCCACGATCTTTGCTTGTTTCTGCTCCTACAGACTAACATGGCTCTGGAAACATCTGTTTAATAATCCATCAATAAATGTCCTTCTGTTTATTCTTGAAGCCTATTCAGTGCCTAGCCTTGATGAAACCCTGTGCTTGGGCAGAGTAGGAGATGTCCTTAAAGCACCTCCAGGCACACCCTTCATCGGTCTTTCTTCCGCTGTTTGTTCTGCTGCTGCTTAATATTAGTAACTTTCTCCGAGCTAGGAAGGGAACATTTTCAGAGCACATTTTTTTCTTCTCTTTCCCCCTGCCCTGTTTATTTTGAAATGCCTTTATTTACATTTTTGGAGATCTAGTCTTTTCTCAGTTTGGATAGCTTGAAGCAGAGCTCACAAGCCTGCCACTCAGACCTTTCTCTCGATAACGTTGTTTTCAAGGCAAGAGGATGTTTTACCTTCTGTGTGGCCTTTCCCTGGCATGCTGAGGATTAGCAAAACATGCTTCTAGTGGCACAAGGTAAACTGGACAGGGGCGACTGCCTTCTCAGCTGTATTGGAAACTAGGCAGCCTGAAGCCAAGACTAAAAATTATGGTGCCCAATTCAACAAGAGTCTAGAAATAATCACAATTTTAACATTGAGTTAAGTGGCCCAGTGGGATTTGACCTTGAAAAGTCTGAGAAAGAGGGAACAGGAGATGGTGGAAATAGGACTGAGAATATCTGTTGTTGTATTTACATTGATATTCTCTTCCTTTGGTTTTGTTGCCTGCATTTGGCTAGTTGCTAGAATCAGGGTGGGCAACAACCATCTCTGTTCCAGAGAGCCCTGAGTGTCAATTCATGCTAATGGAGGGTTAACACTCTCAATCCCATGTGTTGCAACACCCCAATTTACCCCCCCCCCAAAAAAACCCTTCTTTTCTTGCATGGCAGTTAAGCTTAGGAAAAAGGTTGATTAGGAGGATCTGGGTCAGGGTATAAATAAACTGAAGAATGCATTTTGCTTGATATAATTTGGATGGGAAATTAATTGGCTGGCTTTTCCCCCTGTGAAATCTTCGAAATTATTTCTAAAAGTGTATAAATAGAGATAAAGCAACACCTGAATCATTTAAGTACCTAGTAGATTCCTGCCCTAGGCCTGTAATTGGCCCTTGGCTATCAGCTCAGGGCAGTGGCAAGAGGGAACTGTCTCCCAACATCCTGCTGGGCAATACGGGAGAAGAAATGGGAGCAGCAGAACCCCTGCTTGCTTTTGGGTCAGGAATCAGGTTGCCCAGCAGGCGGCCTCTGATGGACGACCTCTGAGGGCATGTGGGCATTGACATGAAAAATGTTCAACTGCCCCCCCCCACCTTATACTGGTAGGAAATTGAGTTCTCCAAGTAGCTAAAATGTCATCATTTTCATTTCATTTATTACATTTGTATGCCACCCCATAGGGCGCTCTGGGCAGCTTACAATAGAACAAAAACCCCCAAACATATTCCATAAAAATACAATCATATATTAGAGCAATACAACCAAGCAATACAAGATTTAATTGTAAACAATACCAAATCAAACAAACCTTATTACAATAATATAATACAAAATGCAATACATAATATCAATACATAATACAATGTAATTCATGATACAATGAATAATATCAATAATAATAAGATGTAGTCATAATCCCCCCCCCACACA